AGACGGGGGTGGGGGGGAGTGTAGGGGAGTCTATTGATCTGTTTGCTGCACTGGGCTCTATGAGGAAACTTCAGACTGATCCCTAATTAGCTTTGCTTGTTCCTATCCTTTCCTTAAGGCATTTCATTGTTATTATTCATTATTCATTGTTTACTGGAGTGAATCCATTAGGAATAGACATTAATAAAAATCTAAAACCTAGCCTTCCTCTTCTGATCTCTGTGGGTACCAGGCACATGCATGGTGTACGGACCACAAAATCAACACATTTGTCCATGTGAAATAAAATAAATAACTGCCCTTTTAAAAGAAGGGGCTTATATGTAAATATCATACTCCCAGCCTGAGGTTGTAGCCAAGTGTTAAGCACTGACCTAGCATACTGTACACAAGCACAACAGAGTAAGAGCTTCTGCCTCCAAAGAAGTACTTATGCTGAACCTAGCATTTTGTTCAGAAAAGTATGAAACAGAGGAAATTAGATAGAAGACGAAATAGAGATATAGAAGACAGAGAGGAGAAAAAACTCAACTTGAACTTTAAACAAAATGACACTGAGCAAGATGAATGGCAGTCTAATATTAGCTAAACAGAATATCTTTCTAAGTAATGAAAAGATTGCCATATTTCTAATATTGCATTAAGTACAAATAAGAGGGCACTTAAGCAGTCAGTTTGTTCCTGTTTCCTGAAGTTGAAATGCTTCATATGATCCAAGAAACAAGATTCTAAAAGAAAAATTGCTATAGATCTATGTCTTAAGCCAACCCTACCCAACCAAACCAACCACCTCCATGAAACCAAACTAAATGTTTAGGCAGAGATGAAGAGGATTTGATTGATGAACACATTTCATATGAAGAGCCATCCATGTGCTATTCAAAATGGATCAGGTTATGAAGGAAATAGAACTATACCACTCTTTAGGAATAAAATATGCAAAGTCCTAAATTATCAAGCAAGGTCTGGCATGATTTTTTTTTTTTTTTACTTTTTGAAGATCATCAAAATAGTGACCATGCAAGTCTGAGGAGATGGCTTAGTCCATAAAGTGCTAGCCTTGCAAAGACAATGACTTACAATTATCCTGAGAACCCACCTCAGTATGGTGTACATAATGGCATGATGCTGTGCACTTGTAATCCCAGTGCTAAAGAGGCAAGGACAGGCAGATCTCTGGTTTGTTGTCCAGCCAGACTAGCTTGGATTGAGTGAGAAACTCGACACCTATGGTTGTCATGTAGCTTCCAAATGCAGGTTCACATGTGCACAAGCACCCACACGTACACACACACACACACACACACACACACACACACACACACACACACACCACATGCACACACATGTATACATTATTTGTAGAAATCTTTTAATTTTTGATTTTAGTACATTCTAAGCTAATGGTAGGCTGTTTTATATACCATTATAATGCTGAAAAACAGGCTGTTCTGTTCACTCTTGCAATGCTGGGCTTCCACAGAGAGCAAAAACTCCCATTTGCCATATGGTCATGAACCACCATGTGGTTGGTGGGAATCAAACCCAGGTCCTCTGGAAGAGCAGCCAGTGTGGTTGAGCACTGAGAAATCTCTCCAGTCCCAATTAAATTGCATTTTAATCTTAGAGAACTTTCTATTTAAGGCTAGTTTCTTGGTAATTAGCCTGATTCCAAGTTGAGCATCCACAAGTGGTTTAAATTAGCATTTGACTAAAACACAAGCAACAAGGAAAACTGACAGCAATGGATTCCTTTTCTACAGCCAAAATACTCTTACTGATACCATCCCATTTAATCAACCTAAAACATTAATCGTCTCTTACTTGGCTTTTACTTGCTTGAAGCACACTCTGCATGTTCAGGCACTTGGGAAAAACTCACTGCCAAGTGGCTACTGTCCCTTTGGTACCGTCTTTGAAGCTTAGTAACTTACAACAATATTTTAAAGGATATATATGGGATTTTGTGTTGGCTCTTCAATTGATTGAAGTATGTTTAAAAGTATGTCTAAAGTTTGGGTTCCTGCCAGTATTTCCATTGATTTGTGTCTTTATTCTATCTGGTTAGTGAAATGTGTTATCTTCTTTTGGAAATTCCGGTTGAGATTGTAGATATTCGACCGGCCACTCGAAAAATGCCATTTGAGCCGGGCGGTGGTGGCACATGCCTTTGATCCCAGCACTCGGGAGGCAGAGGCAGGCAGAATTCTGTGAGTTCGAGGCCAGCCTGGTCTACAAAGTGGGTTCCAGGAAAGGCGCAAAGCTACACAAAGAAACCCTGTCTCAAAAAAA